TAAAAAAAATATTTTTTTAGACATCTCAGGAGTAATTTTTGTAGCATATTTGCATCTATCTGATAAGTGAAACTGGCACCATATTAACAACCATAGTTTATGTCTGTGTTGTCATTGTTTTTGTTTCATGATCAGTCATGTGGTGTTTCCTTGGTCATGTGACAGTGATTGGGATTCAGCTTAGGATTGTGGATGATTTAACTCAAGCAGAGAAGCAATGTCAGCACGGCGGTTGGCTTTTAATCTCATCTAAAAGGGAGGGAAATATTTCATGCATGATATCAGTAAATATCTATTTTTTTCAGCTGTTGGGGCAATGGTAACGTGACATGTCGATATCAGCCCAGATTTTTATATATCAGTGCATCCCTAGTTTTTCACTTATTGTTATGGCTAAAATTGAAAATGAAAGATTTGAGAAAAAGTGAGTCTGAAAAACGATAAAAACACAACCCTATTGCTTGGTCTAAGTTATGATTCCTAATCAGACAATCCACCCTGGAAGCTGCTTTTCTCAGCCTTACGTTCATCCTTTCGGTGGTTGTGGAAGGAAGCAGGCCAACTTACATCATTCAGTTCATTGACAGCAAAATTTGTAACCTAATAATTGTCATCACTTATCATCACGCTTAAAAAGAAGCTCATCAGCAGAAGCAGCCCTTGGCTTTTCAGAGGGTCTTACTTCCCTTTGCACCACTGACCACTGAATCACCACCAAGAAGAGTGGAAAAGAGCCTGTGGCCACTTTACCCTCTGCTGCAATGAAGATGAACGACTTTGTCTTCGCAGATGGAGGAAAAGTGGCTGAAAACAGAAAAAAACAAAAACACGGGCGGGTGGTAGTGAGGGGGAAGGAGGGGTGAGAGGACAGCGGTAAGACTTCAGGATGTTTTGGAGTTTGCATGTGCAAGACATAAGGGACAGGAAGAAGTCTAACATCATCCTCCACCGGTAATTGAAAGCAGATCTGGTCGCTGACGGTTCCTGCCAGCTGCTAAAAAAAGAGAAAGAGAAGAAGAAACATGCGCCCGATCCCTTCACCTCAGCCGCCTCCCCTTTTCTTTCTGCACAGAGCGCTGTGCTCTGAGCTCACCCAGAGACATTCAGTCCTTGTGGCTGGTTCCTGGAAACAAGAGAGGAACGAGTTTGGATTTCTTCTACTGTTTTTTTTTTTTTTTTTCTTTTGGTAATTCCTCTTACACAGCTCAGCTGAAAGACCAGCCGCAGAGCCCCGGACTTGATTATATCCACATGAGTGCAAACATTTGTTTCTAATCCACTTTTATATAAGAAACTTCCAGTGGTGCCGGATGAATATATGCCTACAGTTTCTATGAAACTATCTTGGATCATGTTTCACAGAGCTGCGATTAAAAGATTAAACCTCACTTTGTATTATATCTGCATGAAATAATAGTAAATTAAGGATTAATAATGTTTGTTTATGTAGACATGCCCTTTTATTCTAATATATGTGTTAACCTTTGATCTTACTGTCTGGTTTAGCTTTACTATCTGTTTTTCATCATCTGTGTACGCTTTAGGTACCAGTTTTTTTCCCGTTTGATATAAAGGAAGAAAACAGCTTAGTGGGGTTTTAAATCGTAGCCTTTCCTTCAAATTAAACAGTGTTATGCATTTTTATCCAGGCCCCTTTACTTTGTTACACTTTACTTAATTAGATGTATTCCTCTTCTTGCCTTTAACATGTATAAATTATACATTTATGCCTTTTCTTCTTTGCAATATACCCTGAAGTTCTAGTTGTCAAGTGGATTTAGGCCCGCACTTTGACTTGGCTACCCTAACAAATTATTATTATTTGATGTAAATCATTTCTTTGGATCTGTGGCTATTTTAGTCTTTGTATTGCTGAAGTCAAACCTCTGCTCCAGTGTTAAAACTTTTACATAAACATAAACTTTTACCGAATTTTCCTTGCTCTAGTCCTTAGCATCAACTCTCAACATCTCTACTCTTTAAAGAAAAGCCACCCTGTGCTTTGCATTATGAAAGTGCTACACTGTTCATGTTGGAGATTATGTGGACTTTGCACCGAGTTGCATGGAGTTCATGTACAGTTTTTAGAAAGAAGGGTAATCTCAAAGCAACCAAAGCCTCAAAACAGGAATATTGGTTAAGTGATTATTCAAAATGACCCCATAGATGTTAGAGTTATTATTCAGCACTTGGTGCATGGCAACGTGTCCAAAGATTGCCTTTAATTTTGTCCAATGACCAAATATTAAAGGTATAGAGGACGAATAAATGTTCCTCCTAATTGCCAATCATTCTGGTGATATGTTTACATAAGGCCGTCCTACATGCTCGTCCTGTTAGCTATCTTTTCTGCGTACTGTATCTGCACACTTTCAGGCGTATATCTGTGGTGAGCTACGATTTCAGACGGTCATTGAACCTCACCTTTCTCCCCACGGTTCTTTGAAAATGGCTGAGGGTCGTAGGAGAGAAAAAGTGTTTATGAAGTGCATGAAAAGAAAAGAAAGGCCTCAGAAGAGGCAGATGTATCCTGGAATGCTGTGTGCAGAGAGTTCTCCTTTCAAAGCATTATGGGACCCAACAGCGGGCTCCCTAATAACAAAGATAATGCAGGCGCAGGAGGAGGAGTTACGTTACCAACGGAGCAAAAAGCAGTGATCATCTGTCTGAACGGTCAGTTAACTGAGTTTCCAATAAAGTCCACTATGTGGTCCTGCTCTATATAGTGATTGAGGCATTTAGGGGTTAGGGTGGACATTTGGGCAAAGTAAGCTTGTATGAGCTATGAGAACAGCAGAGTGGAGAGGGCAGGTCTTTTTAAGAAATTTGTGAAAATCCTCCACAATGCCTTTCAAGTATAAGTACAAAGAATAAACAAATGTAGACAATGAATGAATGAACAGATAACTCACTTGCATGTTTGAAGTGTCCTGTATGTCACTTTTAGCAAACTTGATAATAGAAAAAACCCACAGTGGTGAAAAAAAAATTATTTAAATCTACGGAGCCCCTCTGATGACATGGTCAAAAAATTTTTTTTATTGTGGCCACGAAGTAGTATTTCGTGTGCACAAAGTAGTATTTCGTGGCCACGCAATAAGTTTATCGTGCGCACGAAATACTATTTCGTGGCCACGCAATAAGTTTATCGTGCGCACGAAATACTATTTCGTGGCCACGCAATAAGTTTATCGTGCGCACGAAATACTATTTCGTGGCCACGCAATAAGTTTATCGTGCGCACGAAATACTATTTCGTGGCCACGCAATAAGTTTATCGTGCGCACGAAATACTATTTCGTGGCCACGCAATAAGTTTATCGTGCGCACGAAATACTATTTCGTGGCCACGCAATAAGTTTATCGTGCGCACGAAATACTATTTCACGAAGTAGTATTTCGTAAATACTACTTCGTGGCCACAATTAAACATTTTTTTTGACCATGTCATAAGAGGGGCTCCGTATAAATCTGACTAAAGTAATAATAAATAAAAATCCTGGATTATCAACTATTGAATTGGTCATTTGAATAATAAGTGTATGGGTATATTTTTTAGTTATGATGCTGGTTTGTAGGAATTTTAGATAAAACTGAGAGCCTGAGCTGTACGGGCGGCGGAGTTTCTTCAGCAAACCTTATTGACCAACAACGTCCATCTTTCAGGAGAGCTGCTTTAGTTTCCTCCATTTCCGTGGGCAGCACCTAACTGGTAAATCACCAGAAATATGGAACATTTCCTCAGAGTGTAAAAAAAAAAAAACACTGCACAAAGCCCAATTTGTTCCCAGACTGCTTAGATATATTCTTCTGAAATGCCGTAAGAGCATCGAAAAGGTTACCAAAGAAAGGTTTAAAATGACTTTTTGCAAAAAGCCAGAAATTTGCATGTAACCACAAAAAACAAAAACAAATCTTCTCTTCATGGGGAATTTACTTTGTTCCTCTGGAACTTTTTTTCCTGTCAGCAGCACATCATCTGTTATATATAAAAATTCACTTTTAGTGCTTTAAAAATATCTAAATGTTTTTGTTTTTTGTTTTGTTTTTTTCCACCAAGTATTGGTAAACTTTAGATGTTACTGTTATTAAAAAATTGATATATAGGTTTGACTTATTTAAATTTGGGGGATTTTGGGAAGCATTTAACTGTTTCTTTATGTTAAAAAAAGGTTAGAATATTTCAGATACCTTATAGCTTAACCACATTATTTTAGTTGCCAGGAATACACTTCCTGCCTCATTCATGCTGGATATCTGATCAT